GGGCTGCGGGCCAATTTTACACTTTTATCAATGTGAATATTCACATTGTCAACGGGCCGGGCCGGGCCCGCCCCGGGCCGCGGGCGGGCTTTTGGCCGTCCATGGGCCTCGGCCAATTTTATACTCTTATCAATGTGAATGTTAACATGTCAATGTGAATATTTACATGTCAACGGGCCGGACCGGGCCGCCCCAGGCCGCCCATGAGCCGGGGCGGGTTTCGCGCCGCCACGGGACGGGGGCCAATTTTACACTCCTATTAATGTGAATATTAACATGTCAATGTGAATATTCACATTGTCAACAGGCCAGGCCGGGTCGAGTCGGGCCGCCCTGGGCTGCTGTCTAGTTTTATACTCTTATCAATGTGAATGTTAACATGTCAATGTGAACATTCACATTGTTAACAGGCCGGGCTGGGCCCACCCACGGGCCGTGGGCGGGTTTCGGGCAGCTACGAGGCGCAGGCTAATTTTACACTCCTATCAATGTGAATGTTACATGTCAATGTGAATATTCACATTGTCAACGGGCCGGACCGGGCCCGCCCGGCTGCGGGCGAGCTTTTGGCCGCCCATGGGCCGCGGCCCAATTTTATACTCTTATTAATGTGAATGTTAATATGTCAATGTGAATATTCACATTGTCAACGGGTCGGACCGGGCCCGCCCCGGGCCGCCCATGGCTGCGGGGGTTTCGCGCCACCAGGGACGGTGCCAATTTTACACTCCTTAATAATGTGAATTTTAACATGTCAATGTGAATATTCGCATTGTCAACGGGGCCGGGCCCGCCCTGGGCTAATTTACATTCCTACAAATGTGAATTTTAAACTTTTTTTTTTTTTTTAACTTTTATGAATATTAACAATAACGTTATGTAGTTTTGTAGATTCATTACGCAATTTTGTTCTTCTGTTATGCCATAACTAGTGGTTTTTTAATATAAAATGCCCAAGTTGTGTCCAAGTATAATTCATTATTTATGATTATTGTGAGTTACAATACTTAATGATTCGCAAGGTACTTTAATAATTTTTTTAAAAACTTTTGCGAATAATAATGGTAGTGTTGCGCATTTTTTCTAAATTTGTTATGCAATTTTGTAGTTCTATTATGCCATAACTAGTGGTTTTTTGATATAAAATGCGTAAGTTATGCCCAAGTATAACTCATTATTTATGATTAAGTTCGCTATGTACTTTAATGTTTTTTTTCTTCCTAATTTTCTTAATTTTTACACATTAATGGTAGCATTACACACATCAATGTTTTTTTTTTTTTTTTGTTGATATTAATGCACAAGTTATTTCAAAGTATTGTTTTTGTTTTTTGGTTATGATGAGTTACGGCACTTACGGATTAGCTACATATTTTAATGATTTTTTTCAATTTTTTAAATTATTATGCAAATTAATGGTATCATTACGTATTTTTGTGGATTCATTATGCAAATTTATAGTTCTATTGTGCCATACCTAGTGGTGTTTTAACACACAAGTTATGCTACCATATCGTTCATTACGACACTTAATGATCCGTTACATAATTTAATGGGTTGTTTTAGGGGGGGCAAATTACATAGATAGTCTCTACATTTTGTCTCTTATTTTAATCCCTGCACTTTCAATTAGCTCAATTTTGACCTTAATTTTAGATTTTGTGTTAATTTGGGCCCATTGATAACGTTATTAGTGTTTTTTATGAAAAATTATCACTAAATTGGTTGAAGTTAACTCACTGAGTTGAACAAGTTTAAAAATTTTCCTTGAAAAACATAAGTCACTTGTGTGCATATTTTTCATTAAAAAACACTAACAATTGTAAGCATTTGGATTAAATTGAGAAAAAATAAAAAATTCAGTGTCAAAATTGAGCAAACTATAGAGACCAAAATCACACAAGACCAAAATACAAGGATTAACGTAATTTGTCCTTTTTTTATTTTTACTTTTATGCATATTTATGGTAGTATTACTTTTTAGATTAGTTATGAAATTTTGTAGTTCTATTATGCCATAACTAGTGGTTTTTTGATATAAAATGCGTAAGTTATGCCCAAGTATAACTCATTATTTATGATTAAGTTCGCTATGTACTTTAATGTTTTTTTTCTTCCTAATTTTCTTAATTTTTACACATTAATGGTAGCATTACACACATCAATGTTTTTTTTTTTTTTTTTGTTGATATTAATGCACAAGTTATTTCAAAGTATTGTTTTTGTTTTTTGGTTATGATGAGTTACGGCACTTACGGATTAGCTACATATTTTAATGATTTTTTTCAATTTTTTAAATTATTATGCAAATTAATGGTATCATTACGTATTTTTGTGGATTCATTATGCAAATTTATAGTTCTATTGTGCCATACCTAGTGGTGTTTTAACACACAAGTTATGCTACCATATCGTTCATTACGACACTTAATGATCCGTTACATAATTTAATGGGTTGTTTTAGGGGGGGCAAATTACATAGATAGTCTCTACATTTTGTCTCTTATTTTAATCCCTGCACTTTCAATTAGCTCAATTTTGACCTTAATCGGGCTTCGGGCTGCCCACGGGTCATGGGCCAATTTTACACTCTTGTCAATGTTAATGTTAATGTTAATATGTCAATGTGAATATTCATATTGTGAATGGGTTGGCCTGGGCCCGCCTCGGGCAGCGGGCTGGTTTCGGGCCGCAAGCCAAATTTACACTCCTATCAATGTGAAGGTTAACTTGTCAATGTGAATATTCATATTATCAACGGACCGGGTCAGACCTATTTTTTTGGCTTGTGGGCCGGCCCGGCCCGACTCGAATTTTTCCCGGCACCCACGAGGATCGACATGAGCCGGGCCCCTATACATTGACGATATAAACATTTATATTGACGGTGTGAACATTCACATTAAGGGTATTTTGGTAATTATGTCACCCATAGGACTTATTGAAACATAAGAAAATAATGTGAACTAAATGGAATATAAGTAGATGAAAAGGGTATTTTGGTCTTCTTATCTCAAATTGGACCTAATGGAATAGTCAAAAAGAATATGAGTTGGATGAAATAAAACTCTTAGAAAATGAATTTATCAAAAAAAGCTCCCAAATAACAAATTGAACACTTTTAAGGCAGGTAATTGGATGAGTGTAATGCCATAGCACTTGTTTGGAAAGAAGGGTTGGCTTAGGTTTCAAGTTATTTTAATTATAAAAAAGATAGAGTAAATTTTTTAATTTAATAAAATAAAATATCATATCTCATTTATAATAATTATATATTTTTTTCTCATAAAAAAATAAAAAAAAATAAAAAATCCTATTTTAAACAAAACCTTTTGACCTAGACTAAAAAAATTAAAAAATTAAAAAATCACCCTATTTTTCAAACGAATTCATAATGATGTTCCTGATTCACCTGAATAATTTCCAAAAACTTGAATTCATAATGATGTTCCTGATTCACCTGAATAATTTCCAAAAACTTAGAGAGAGAGAGAGAGAGAGAGAGAGAGAGAAGGGCAAGAAATTGATAGGCAATTTACAGCCACAACTTTCGTGTTTCTGGTTTTCTTAATTTAATTTTGCTATATATCCTACGCAACAAAACAAATGCCACCCACCCTCGCAAGTCTCTCCTCTCTCTCTCTCTCTCTCTCTCTGGTGTGCCTTCGGGCCATTGACAGGGTGGAAAAGTTGTAAAATGAAATATGGTTTGGTTTTTCTGAATTATTGTTTATCTGAAAGTGATTTGACTTTCCCTGTATTTGTACTTTACACAACGGGTTTTGTTTGCATCTGATTCCGGGTCCTTTTTTGCTACTTATGAATTAATATTTTTTTCAAATAGTTTGTACAAATTTGTAAAAACACCCTCCAAAAAATATATGAGATCCTACATTTTATTACAGACATATAAAAATATTGTCAATCCACCAACCCACGTCCACCCAAAATGGAATCCAACTAACCCATGCACAGTTTGAAAAGGTAGTTGGTTGAAATTGTCCAGAGAAGATGATTAAATGATAAAAAAAATAAATTACACGCACTTTTTTTGAGATTTATCTTAATTATAAGTATTTTTTTCTTTAATTTTAAAAATTGCAATGACCTTCTCTATTTTTAGAAATAATACATAGATTCTCCTTTCCTGTTAAAAGAGTATGAACGATGTTAACTTGACAATCGAATTGACCATAATGCCCTTGAACCACATTGTGAAAAGACACAAGTAACCTTTCTCCATCTTCACAAACCCTTCTCCCAACACCTTAAGAAAACCCATTCTCATTCACAAACCTAGAATCAAGATTAGGGCAAGAATTCCCAACTCTTTGGTCTAATTCCAATAAGAATTGAATATCTGTCATTGAATTTCTTTACCCTCAACCCAGGAGGTACCAAATCTTGATCAATTGGGGTTTTTATGTAAAACTCACCATTTGAATCAAAATTAGATCCAAAATTCCCATGAATCTTCTCAAATTTCTTGCTTCTAATTGGGCATTAAAAATCAGTATATCATTATCAACAACAACGACTACACAAAAAAATAAAAATAAAAAAATTATAGAATTGAAAAATCCATACAAAAATCCTTTGAAATTCAATTACACCACACCACGATCCATACCATCCTCCTCTGAATGCAATTACACCACACCAAAATCCATACAATCTATTTCCAATCTGTCCACCTAGGGTTTCGTTTTCTTTAAACGATGCACCAAGCCTTATCAATCTTCATACACACACTCTCTCTATTTCTCTGATACATCTGTACTCTTCGATGATGTTGATGGCGAGACCATCTCATTCTCTGACTAAGAACAACAATAACAACGGCGTCAATGTGACACCGTTTCTCACGGACCAGATCCTTCGCGGCGTGGCGTGACGCGACTCAATTCCTTTGTCGCGCCAGCAGCTCCATCTTCACAAACCCTTCTCCCAACACCTTAAGAAAACCCATTCTCATTCACAAACCTAGAATCAAGATTAGGGCAAGAATTCCCAACTCTTTGGTCTAATTCCAATAAGAATTGAATATCTGTCATTGAATTTCTTTACCCTCAACCCAGGAGGTACCAAATCTTGATCAATTGGGGTTTTTATGTAAAACTCACCATTTGAATCAAAATTAGATCCAAAATTCCCATGAATCTTCTCAAATTTCTTGCTTCTAATTGGGCATTAAAAATCAGTATATCATTATCAACAACAACGACTACACAAAAAAATAAAAATAAAAAAATTATAGAATTGAAAAATCCATACAAAAATCCTTTGAAATTCAATTACACCACACCACGATCCATACCATCCTCCTCTGAAATGCAATTACACCACACCAAAATCCATACAATCTATTTCCAATCTGTCCACCTAGGGTTTCGTTTTCTTTAAACGATGCACCAAGCCTTATCAATCTTCACACACACACACACACTCTCTCTATTTCTCTGATACATCTGTACTCTTCGATGATGTTGATGGCGAGACCATCTCATTCTCTGACTGAGAACAACAATAACAACGGCGTCAATGTGACACCGTTTCTCACGGACCAGATCCTTCGCGGCGTGGCGTGACGCGGCTCAATTCCTTTGTCGCGCCAGCAGCCGAAGAATGATGCACGAGCGTTGATGCGAATGTGCAAGTCGGCGACGAAACAAATCGAGGATAGAAAGAGTGAGTGGGCGTATTCACAGCTTGATCATGATTCTCAATCTCGTAGAGAACTTGGAGTGGATTGATCTGTGAGAGAGAGAGAGAGAGAGAGAGAGAGAGAGAGATGGAAGAGAGATAGTAATAGTGAGAGAAGCAGAACATAGAGTGAGAGTGAGAGGGAAGAGAGATGGAATGGCTAGGTTTTGATATGTATGTGTTGATATATATATATATATATATATATATATGGGTAAATTACACTTACCTCTGAAGGGTAGTATTGGAATTTAAAGAATAATTATGGATGACATCAGCAGAATCTATTGGAATTTGGACGGATGGGTAATAGAAGGGGGTTGTTGTATATTAGTTTCAAAAGTTAGGGAGGTCTGTATTATTTTTGAAGCTACAAAGAGGGACCTGTAATTAAGACAAACCTTATGAGAAGTCAGTGTAATTTCTCGATGATAAAAATTACCAAGCTAGTTGAGATGTGGTTTTCCAATTATCTTGACACAATCTCTCTAAGCCTATTACCATAATTAGATGATACCGGACTCCTATTTTCATCACATCTTTTTGTTAATTTTATTATTTTAATATTAATTTGTGAAAATGATTTGAATAAATCATGTATTTATTAATTAAGGGTAAACTACTAATAGGTTCTAATAGTCGGACTTAATTCTATCAAGTCCTATTGAAAATAAATCTTAGTAAAATTGTCGCTAAAAATAATTTTTTAGGGACAATTTTTTACATATGTCGCTAAAAATTGACAATTAATGACTTTTTTTGTCATAATTTTTATAAATTGTCGATAAAACTTAAAATTAGTGATTTTTTTTAATGACAATTTTTTCTCATAGGATCTCTTAAACAATAAGTTCATTTGTTAGGACCTACACGTAAGTATCCCTTTAATTAATTTGTGATTTTTGTATTGGAATTTGGAATATCAATTTTTGAGTTGGAAGATTTGAAAAATTAAGGCCTTTTTGGGTTAAACTATATAAGTGTATTTTTTTTTTGCATAAGTGCACTTATTTGAATTATATCAATTAATATTTTTTCTTTATTTTTTTATACATCATTTTATAAAAAGTTAAAAAATATATTTATTTAAAACATTACAAATCAACCCTAAAATTGTATTGTGCCTCCGTTTGGGAAGTGGGTCGGCTTTTTGACTTTTTGACTTTTTTGACTATTTTAGCCTGGGGTTAAAAAGCCTAGTTTAGGAAAGACTTTTTTGCTTTTTTGACTTTTTAACTTTTTGGTGAGGTGTCTTCCTGTTAAATTACCAAACTGCCCCTGATAGGTTTACATGTTAACTCATTGCATTTGGGCGTCTTCCACGTCAGATTGTTTGGACCGATTTTTTTTTTTTTTTTTTTTTTTTTGTTTTTTTTTTTTTTTTTTTTGGATTTGACGTATTTTGATGTTTTTTTTTTTTTTTAAATTTATGTTTTTGTCATTTTTTTAATACATTAATTAGTTCTTGTTCTTTAATTTTTATTGATATACAAATTCTTTTTTTAATTTTTCAAAAAATACATATTATATGAATATTTTTTAAAAAATTAAAAAATCCACAGTACCTGAGAGCCACTGTGGCCATCATAAACGGCGAAGAAATGGAGGGGCGAGATCTCGCCAGAGCTTCGAGAACCAGAGGCAGTGCACCCTTCCACGTGATTGCACGTGCGAGTCATGAACCCAGGCATGATGGCGACGACGTCCTCCATCTCTCTCCTTCTCCCTATCACCGACGTGAACCCCCACGTCACCCCCTTGTTGTTCCTCCCCACGCACTTCACTCTCCCTGAAACCGCCACAGACGCCGCCTCCAACACCGGCGGTCCCACCACCAGTCTCAGCGGCACCGCCAACAAGGCCGAAGGAATCTCGCTGAAACTGCTGCTCGCGGCGGAGATATCGCCGGAGCTACTCGGAACGTCGTCGCTGCCGAAGATCGACGACACGGTCGAACTGGTCGAGGCCAAATCGAGAACCGAGTCGACTTGGTGAAGGTCCTTGTCTTCCATCTCTCTCCTTCTCCTTCGCTTGTTCTGTGTGTGTGTGATTTACGCGTTGGGCCTCAGATTCAGAGAGAAGACCCAGGGTATTTTGATAAATTTACCCCAAAAGGATTTGAACCCAACATGTTGCTTCTGTTTTGTCTTCATTTGGCTAAATTAACCTTTTTTTTGTCCGGACGTGGCTAATTTAGCCCCACCTTCCCTTCTGAAACACCACCAATGCTTTGCGCAAGTTGTTAATTTGAAATCGTCCAAATATTCAATTAATCTGTTAGTTTTGATGATGGATTGAGTGGCAACGGGTTAAAAAATTATGATTCAGTTGACATTTTTCTCAAAAATCGATCCAATCCGACACCTACGTACCTTTTACCAATATAAAAATACTTTTTATGACTTTGAGTTTTTTAAAAATGTTTTCATATGTTTTCTATACACATTTTGCCCCATTCCTAATACTAAAGGAATGCAGTTCATTTGGAAAAATTTAATCAAAACCTTTTTATTGGGCCTTTATTTGGTAAAAAAGATAATTTAATTTAGAAAAATACTTAGTCTGAATTTGTGTGGCTTAAATGACTCGAATATGTCAAAATGATATCGTTTTGTCCCCAAAACGACGTCGTTTTGACACAGTCAGCCTATTCTAGTTATAAATTTTTAAGTCACCAAGCATTACCATTTAATTTATTTTATTTCATAAACCCTTTAAGAAGAAGGCGTAAAATTGAGTAAGAACAAAGTAATTTTTTTTTTCTTGAACAATATTGCCCATGCATATATATATATATATATATATCACAGAACTCTTTTGATAATGAATACTTTTATTTTATTTTATACAAATTTAAAAATGTTGTTGTAGCTCGGCTTTTCGCGCTCCCTTTCGGAAGAATGAATAGCCTTTACAGTTCGGACTCTACTTGTGTGGTTTCTGAATTTGATTTCACAAGTACAATGTGAAACAGTGAAAATACAAAAAGAGTCCAAATCCGACAATTGCTTTTGAAAAATCGATGTTTTGAATCAAATGTCAAAAATGAACTGCTTTGCCAGATATCAAAGTCGAGAAAACTTGTGACTCATGCCAAAGGCCATTAGTCCGTCGTTACCAAAGTGTCTTGGTTCGGGAACTTAGGTATGAGAGGGGAAGGCCATTTATTGAGCACCCCACTTACCCGATCAAAAATCGGCCTCTACTAATCGTGATGTGATTCTTATGTACAATATATGTTCATGTTCTGATTATTTAATAAATCCTACAATTTATTATGTGAAGCATACAAGTATAAACTAGTTTGCTCAAATTAGAACAATTCAATTTCATGTTTGTTTTTTGAAAATGGTTTGAATTTGCCACCTTAAGTGGGCTTAAAGTTTGTGAATTTACCACTACAAAGTGGGTTTAAAACATACATTCGTTAAATCATTCAAATTCAAGTAACAAGCCTTCATTCATAGGCATTCAAACAGTTTATCAATTAAGCACTCAGCCTCATGGTAAGTTGCTAAACATAATAAGAAAATCAGTTCCGTTTTGTAGCTCGAATTTTCGAAGGCTCAAATGGCCCCAAAGGCCAAAACGACGTCGTTTTGGCCTTTTTTTCCCCGCTCTTCTTCCTTTCAATGACTTGCAGGTTTCAGAGGAGAGAAAGAAGAAAGAAGAAGAAGAAAGAAGGGAAGAAAGAAGAGATAGCAAAAATTGAAAGAAAGCCAAACCTATTATAATCAAACCCAGAAATCAAATTTCTATAATGGGTTTGGTTTATTTTATCAAACCAGTAATCTTTGGGTCTTCTTTCAATTTTATAGTTGTGGACATTTGTGTTCTTTCTGAAAGCTATATTACTTGATTACATTTCTTTCTAGTTTTTCATATGAGTCTCATTTGTTTTTCTCAGCATACCCAATCTGTATCTCCCTCTTCTCCTCTATCTATATGAAAATATGAAATTTCTTTACTCTGTGTATAATTTCCATCATGAATGTTATTATATTCATGACCCAAAAATCAAAACCACAAACCAAACCAAACCCATTATTTATCAGAAAGAAGAAACGAAGACACAAATCAAACTCAAAAATCAAAACTACAAATCAAAAATCAAACCCACCAACAATTTTTTTTTTCTTTTTCCTTCATCTTCTTCATCAACAACAACAACACATCAACATCAACAGATCTATGTGTGTATCAACATATCTATATATATATATATATATGAGAGAGAGAGAGAGAGAGAGAGCCACCGACGCCGCCATTACCGTCTCCTCTGTAAAAATCTGAATTTTTTTTTCAACAGAGCATCATCATCGGAGGCTGGCGGTGGAGAAGAATCGGAGATCGGAGGCAACGATTGACGGGCGGTGCTCTTCCTCTCTGTTACCCCTTTCTTCTCTCTTCCTCTTCTCTCTTCTTCTCTCTCTATCCCTCCCTCACTTTCTCTGTTCCAGATCTAAAAGATTAGAGAAAAAAATTAAAAAAAATTGAATCCAAAACGACGTCGTTTTGGATTCGGGCCAATAGAGCCGTGGGAAATTCGAGCTCTGAATCATTTTTCTAAGAAAATTATGTACATGTGGGATGCTAAAGCTTAAAAACTCACATATTTACCGATGTCCCGCAAACAAGCTACAAAATAAAGTTAGTAAAATATGCATGATCTTATATACAAAATCCTAATGCAATACATACACAAGAATACTTCTAAAGATTCGGCTTTTAAAACATGACAGGTGAATCATCTCAAAAACATGGGGTAGCGCACTAAATCATGTAATAATCAATTAAAGCAAAAAGATGCAAATTTAGCCGGATCTAGGCATGAATCATGGATGTGCATAGCATGTCAGATATATATATATATACATGTACAGTTAGAGAAAGCGATTAAAGAATGTGATAGAAAGAAGCGGGGTGGGAATTATTACAAGTTTGTTTGAGGGTCCAAATGAATTAACTAGTTAATTAATTAAAGCTAAATTATTACAAAACAGATTAACTATCTATGCTAACTAATTATTACAACATCACAATTAATTAATTATTCTAGTTAATTATTACAAATTGAAACTAACTAATTAATTACATTAATTAATTAATTATAGAATTCTAATTAACTAACTAATTAATTACACTAATTAATTAATTATAAAATTCTAATTAACATCTCGATGAAGAACTCCCATAAGAACTCTATGGGAGTGACAATAAGCTATGCCACGCGAAGAATTTGATACAGAAACATTTTTATCAGACGTGGATCCTTAGAGAACTCCGTACATGAATCCATGTGTTTCTTCAAAGCCAAGTCCAGATACTCAAAAACCAGATACTAACGCTTCTCACTGTGCACTACATCCTGTAACCTGACAACGTTTCCATGCTTCATCTCTTTCAAGAGAGAAATCTCTCTAATTGCCGTGCTTGGTACACCCTCATCTTCCTGCTCCAAACGAATCGTCTTTAAAGCTATATTTTCATTGGTCACTCGGTCACAAGCCTTATAGACCACACCATAGGTTCCTTCGCCAATCTTCTCCACTTTTATACTGCTCCATCTAATCCATGTTGTCAAACAGATCCCATCTGTGAAGCGATCAGATTGTGAATGGATTGGAGAGTCTGGACCATGGTGACTCGAACCATCAGCGCGGAGTCGCTGCTGCCAATATCCACCTCCGCGAACAGTGGTCCGTCGGTGGTTGGTGCAGGGAGAGAGAGATGTCAGCGGCGGAGATGAAGCCGCAGGTGGTGGTGGAGAAGTGGATGACGGCAGCGAGGTGGTGTTGGTCGAATCACGGCTGAAGGCAGTGGTCCTCAAGGGAGTGCAAAGCAAGATGGTACCTGGGTTGGTTGAGATCGAGTTGAGTCACTCTTCCAAGATTGCATGAAACTCCATACCATGTGTATGGACTCTTGTTGAACTTCCACCCTGACATGACTTGTTTCGGATCGTTCTCTATCGTCTTCTTGAACAGAATAAGAGCCTCAGTGTTGGTTTTGATGGATGAAAATCCGGCTTACTCGGCTCGGTGGTGGAGTAGCTGCGGCAACAATGGAAGAGAGTAATCAGCCCAGGTCCTTGAGTTTGTCAAACCAAGGGTTTGGTATCATGTCTGATAACCTGAACCTGTGGTTACCCCATCATAAACTCTCTCTCTCTCTCTCTCTGCTTGTTCTTCATTTCTTTCTTGAAAGCATTTTTGCTACCAACTTCAGGCTCCAACAGCAGACCCGTCCATGGAGAGAGAGAGAGAGAGAGAGAGAGAGAGATGGGAGGTAGCTTTTGCCTTTTCTTCTCACTTCATGGCCGTGAACTTCTGTCCCAAAAATCTGTGTGTGTCTCTCCTAAAACTCAAACCCAACTCTACGTTAGACTCCAAGCTTTGAATGGTTTTTTTTCATTGATTAGCCAGAGAGCCGGAGAGAGAGTTGCTGAGAGAGAGAGGTTGGTCGAGTGATGGAACAGAAGAGAGAGATTGGTTATCTTCTCCATACATGTATCATGTGTGTGCTTATCTCCATTATAGAGAGAGAGAGAGGGGTCCGGTTGAGAGAAGGAGCAGCTCCTCCCTTTGTGTTAATCTGTGTGTGTCATTCTCCCCTTTTTTTAAATCAAATCTATCCAGCCAAACCTTATCGTCTTGCATGCTTATCCCTCACCGCCCTAGATATATTTATTTTTAAAACCACCTTCCCACCACCTGATCCCCTTCCCTCTGTCCCTAACAAACAGCGTCAGGATCCTCTGGAGTGGTAATTCTGCAGTGATCTCTTAAAGGGAGGAGATCTAATGACTAAAATTAAAACTAATCAAAACGACGTCGTTTTAGTTA